GTCTGCTTGGTATCTTCCAGGGCACTGGTGGCCCTAGGTCTGCCTTCTGCTTTGACGTTTTCTGTGACTTCCAGGAAAGGAGGCACCTCCTGTAAATTAATACCACATCTGGGGTATGATCTAAATCAGTTTATCAAGAAATCAGCAAATGTACAGGCCCAACAGCCTTCTTCTTACTCTCTCATCTTTTGAAACCTAGATGTGTATATGTGTGTGCACATATCGTTGAATCTTATAACATGGCTTCAGATACTTTCAGGTTCATGTCTCACCAGAAATATTCATCTGTTATGTAGTTGTGGTGGACAAAATAATGCTCCCCTCCCAAAGATGTTCATGTCTTAATCCCTGGAACCTGTGACTATGTTACCTTAACAAAAAGAACTTTACGGTGTGAGCAAGTCAAAGATTTTGAGATGGGGAGATTATCCCAGATGATCTGAGAGGGCCCGATATAATCACAAGGATCCTTAGAAGAGGGAGACAAGAGGCTAAGAGTCTGAATAGTTAATTTTGTCTCTTGACTCACCACATTCTACCAATACTTTCTGCCTTTAACTTATTGATGAGGAAGGGAAAGACCGAAGGAAAAAAAAGCCCTATGGATTACCTTATTTTCCCCTTTCTTGCTATGTCATTTTCAGCATAAGTGATTAAAGTTAATATAAAGATAATGGAAGTAAAAAAGGATATGATAGGTCATTTGTGCCTTCTTTCTGTAACACCAGCTTCCCAAATGGTGTAAGAGTTAGAGTTTCCGGAAGTATTTCCAAGTCAGTATAGGCCCTCAGCCCACAGGGAAACCAGAAGTGATGATAAAGCACCGTGACACTAAGGGAGTGCTCAGGGAGGGGGCATGACAGAGGGACAGCAAAATCCTGTCTTCTGCTCACCATTAAAGGGTGAATCATAAAGAGGGAAGGGGACTTAGCGACCTCTGTATTTCATACTAAACAGTGTTCCGAGCGAGGTCGCAATCCACATAATACAAACGTGAATGATTAATTTACTGTATTTAACTAATTCGGGAATCATGATGATTAGTTATCTTGATATCTACTTCCTCATCCTGATCTTGAAAAAATTTCCCTCATACTTAGCATTGTCAGGCTCACGAGATGAGATGGTTACCGCAGTTTGGGCGTTCAGCTTAATGCAAAATTTCCTGGCAACTAATATGAGAAAATAAAACTATACAGGGAAAGAAAGAATTGTAATGTAATAAACAGTCTTTCATTCACTCATTTGTAAAAATTCTCAGAACAAGAAAAACAGAAATGTTACTCTTCAGTATGGGACAGTCTACAATTTATTCCTCATTTTCCCAATTTGGGAGAATGTCTGTAAGTATAACTGGCTTATTGAGGTATAGACATGAGTTGGCTTTATTTTTTCCAGGGCCTGTCCCCTGACTGTGGTTGGTTGAACCCCCCCCCCCCCCCCCCCCCCGCCCTTTCATACTCAGTGGTACCTCTCTTTACAAATTCTCATTTTGATCTCTTAGTTTTTCATTCTCTTTCTGGTCGCCAGAATTCTCTCATGCTGGTATTTAAGATCTGCTCGAACCTTCATTTTCACCTTGGACACTCACATCTTCTTACCTGACCACGTGAGGTTGCCAGCCTCTCTGTGCTTGTCATTGCTTCCCTGGCTAGCTCTGGCTGGCCGTCAGTACCAGACGTGGTGTCTCCTGGGTGGCAGGAATTTAAACACTCGTCACTTGTGGGGTGAATCTGAACACCCTGCAGAATTCTGCCCACAATACCATCCCCAGGTATGAGAGAATTAGATCCTGGAACAATCTGCCTTGATCCCACTGTCTGAGTCTGTTCAGGCTCTAACAAAAAATACCATAGACTGGGTGGCTTAAACGACAATTTCTCACAGTTCTGGAGGTGAGGAAGTCCAAGATCAAGGTACCATCAGATTTCGTGTCCAGTGAGGCCTGCTTCTCGGTTCACAGATGGCCTTCATCTCCGTGTGTCCTCATGTGGCAGAAGGGACAGAGGAGCTCTCTGGGTTCTTTTTTTATAAGACTACTAGTCCCATTCCTGAGGGCTCCACCCTTACGATCTAACCATCTCCCGAAGGCCCCACCTCCTAATACCATCACATTGGGGTTTCAACATATGAATTTGGGGGGCGCACAAATGTTCAGTCTACAGCACCCATTCAAGTGCTTGTGAGGCCACCTTCAGATGGTCTACACCCGACAGATGCATCCCAGAGGCCCCTTACCTGGCACCCTGTTGAGTGGCGCAGGCCCAGTCATCTTTCCCTGGCGACATTCGTGGTTGGGAGGCCCAACAGTGGGGGGTTAGCGGCTTCACAGCCCTCTCTCTCTCAGTTCTGACACCACTCCCTTCTTCCTCCTTTTCCTAGGGTACGAGGCACTCTGCAGAAAGAGGTGGTTACCACTCACCCAGGGATGGGGGCAGCGAAGGAGGAAAGAACCTCTCTTCCTGAACCGCATACTCCTCAAAGGCCAGCCTCCAACATGTTAGTCCTTGACCATGGAGCAGGAACAAGGCGTGGTGGAGAGCGGCACTTGGTAGGACTAATTTTCCTGCTCTCAGTAAGCCCTGAGAGGGGTAGGCTGACCCCTGACAGCACAGAGTATGCTAAGTTCAGAATGTGAGGTGTTTTATACCAAGCTTGAGGCTTTCGTGTGGATTTCTGAACAACGGAAAAAACCCTCCCTCAACATTTTATGGTATGAGTACAAGCACTGAAACCACATCATCAATCATCAATAACTTGCTTTTATCTTGGGCAGTGTGCTGAGATCCACAGTGAATACAAAGGGCTCCAATATATTTTCCTGCAGGCAAAACGATACAGATTAATAGGGAGGCTGATCATATACGTCAACCAAACAATGCAGAAAAAAAAAATACCCAGAACAATGACACTAGCTTACGCTTTAATGTCATACCCGTTTTGCAGAAGAAGGAACGAAGGCATATTTATTTAAATGGGATGAGACTAGATGTCTTCGCTCCCAGCTTTATTCATGCTTTAAAATTATTTTTTTAGGGGCACCTGGGTGGCTCAGTCGGTTAAGTGTCTGGCTTTGGCTCAGGTCATGATCTCATGGTTTGTGGGTTCGAGCCCCACATCGGGCTCTGTGCTGACAGCTCGGAGCCTGGATCCTGCTTCCGATTCTGTGTCTCCCTCTCTCTCTCTCTCCCCCTCTCCTGCTTGTGCTTTGTCTCTTCGTCTCCCAAAAATAAAATAAACATTAAAAATTTTTTTAATTATGTTTTTATTTTGAAATAATTTACAGAAGAGCTGCAAAAATAGTACAAAGAATTTCTGTATACCCTTCACCCAGCTTCCGCTAATGTTAACATCTTACATAGCCATGGTACATGATCAAAACTAAGAAACTAACATTAATGTAATACTATTAACTAACATATGGATTTTTCGAATGTAATCATTTTTCCCCACTAATGTCCTTTTCTTCTACCAGGACCCAATATGAGGTACCATTTTGTATCTACTCAACATATCTCTTTAACACCCTCCAATCTGCAACAGTTTCTTAGTCTTTCCTTGTTTTTAATGACTTTTAATACTTTTAAAAGTCCCAGTCAGGGGACTACCTGGGTGGGTCAGTTGGTTAAGCATCCAGCTCTTGATTTCAACTCAGGTCATGATCTCACGGTTCTTTGAGAGTTTGAGCCCTCTGTTGGGCTCTGCACTGACAGTGTGGAGCTTGCTTGGGATCTTCTCTCTCTCTCTCCCTCTCTCTCTGCCTCCCCCCTGCTTGCACACACACACACACACACACACACACACACACACACACACACACACTGTCTCTCAAAATAAATAAACTTAAAAAAAAAAAGTTCTGCTCAGGTATTTGTAGAATGTCATGCAATCTGGGTTTTCTGATTTTTTTTTCTCATTATACGAATGGGATTTTGTGGATTTGAAGGAAGAATACTACAGAGGTGAAGTACCCTTGTCCTTGATCATATAACAGCATGACTTATTACTGGTAAGTTAACCTTGATCACATGGTTCAGGTGGTGTCTGTTGAGTGTCTCCACTCTAAATTTACTCCCCCGCCCCTTCTATATTTAAGAAAAGAGTCACTAAAATCCAGCCCTCACTAAAGGGGAGGGGAATTAAGTTCCAGGGTGAGTATTGAATAATTTGTGGACATGTGTTAAAGTCATTACAGTAATGTATAGATATTTGGGGGGAGATCTCTGAAGCTATGCAACTGTCTTACTTCTGTTTAAAGTGTCATCTGCTAGGGGTGCCTGAGTGGCTCAGTTGGTTAAGTGTTTGACTTCAGCTCAGGTCATGATCTCGTGGCTTGTGAGTTTGAGCCCTGCGTCCGGCTCTGTGCTGACAGCTCAGAGCCTGGAGCGTGCTTGGGATTCTGTGTCTCCCTCTCTCTCTCTGCTCCTCCCCCACTTGTACTCTGTCTCTGTTTCCCTCTCAAAAGTTGAAAAACATTAATAAAGTTAAAAAAAGGTGTCATCCACTAATTTTAGCATTCATTAGGACTTGCTCACAGCAATTATTCTGTGGTATCTTTTTTTTTATTATCTTTTAATTCCAGCATTGTCAACATACCGCTCTGTGGTGTCTCGATAATGATTTTCTTTTCCCCTCATTTCTCCTATACTTATTGTTCAGAATTCATCTGGAAAGACAGTTTATTCCTTTCTTCCATTTTATTCATTTATTGGTATGGACTCAAGAATACTTTGTTGAATTATAGATTTGTATCATAATTACTTGTTTTCATTGTTGAAACTGTTCTAGCTTTGCCCCCGGGAATTCTTTTAGTTGACTCCTTTTGACATGCCTTCATCTTTTCTTGTCTTTTCTTTCCCCTTCTTTCTTTTTCTTCCTTCCTTCCTTCCTTCCTTCCTTCCTTCCTTCCTTCCTTCCTTCCTTCCTTTCCTTTCCTTCCTTTCTTTCTTTCTTTCTTTCTTTCTTTCTTTCTTTCTTTCTTTCATCTACAAGAAGGTCAAGCTCCCCATGTGTTTTCCCAGTCCCAGCTCTAGAACTAGCCATTTTTCCAAGGAGCTCTGTTTCCTTTTATTGAGAATGATATTTAGAAACCAAGACCTGAGTGCTCAGTGTGTCCATTGCTTCCAGGGTGCCATTGCTTCTAGATGTCCCCGTGGACAGAGCTGAGAAATATATGTATACTAGCCTATTTCTATACATATCTATATTTATTTCTGTATCTATTCATACCTATATCAAAGTAAACAAGAGTTCAAACTATGCCTCCAACTCTAGTTCATCAACACCACAGAGTTTATTGTAGCCTCTTGTACTTGTGTCCTCTTTTTCTGATAGTAAGAAATCTGCTTCTCCTTATCTATATTTACTTATTTGTTCAAACTTAGTATACATTTAAAGAGTTTCCGAATTGCTAACCTGTCCTCCTCTGAGATACAAATTTACCAACTAGAGTACAGTGTTATGTACAGGTTTGTGTGTGTGTGTGTGTCCTTATCTTACAGTTTCAAGTGAAAACATTATTTTCCAAAGTTAATTAGTCAGCTCCTTCCCCCTCGGCCCCACCTTCCGTGAGGCTATATCATACATTCGTAAGACAGTTAGGTTTTATTTGTCTTAATCTGCATTCCATCATGGCTTCCCCTGACAGCGTGGTTAATTAAAAAAAAAAAAATACATACAATAAAAGTCACTCGTTGGGCTGTATAGTTTTTTTGTGTTTTGACAGATTTATAGAGTCACGTATCCATCACCACAGTACCAATACAGAATAGCCCCATTACCCTAAAAATTCCTTTATAGTAAACTTCTCTCCTTTCCCCAAACCTGACAACTACTGACCTGTTTTCCTTCTCATATAGTTTTGCCTTTTCCAGAAGGCCATAGAAATGGAATCATACAATACGTAGATTTTTAGGTCTAGCATCTTTCACTTAGCCAAATGCACTTACGATTTGTCCTTGTGGTCACATGAACCAATAGTTCAATCCTTTTTCCTGGTGAGTATAGACAACCCCGTTGTGTGGACATACCACAGTTTGTTTTTCCATTTACCTGTTGAAGGGCATCTGAGTTATTTCTAGTTTTGGCATTATGAATAAAGCTGCTATAAATAGTCACGTATGGGCTTTTGCATGAACACAAATTTTCAATTCTCTTGGGTAAACGCCTAGTAGTGGAATGGCTGGGTTGTATAATACACGCGTGCTTTTAAGAAACTATCCAATCGCTTTCCAAAGTGGATACTATACTTTGCAATGAATGACAATTCCCGGTGTTCCACATCTTTCTCTAGCATTTGGTTGTCCACACTCTCTTTCAAGTGGCAGCTGCTGCCCCACCCCAACTCTGACTTGTCCCTTCTTTTTGGCCTCTGCCTGGATTACAGACGAATCTGCATTCTTGCTTTGCAGCCTGCTGGTATTTGTGAAGGTAACGCTTTTAGGCTACTTCACGTTTCCACCGTGCACTAAAGTACTCTCGCATTTTTAATCTGCTAACCATCCTATAAGGCAGTTTCAGCAAACATTCTTAGGTTGGTATGAGAGATAACAGCAGCCTGCTTCAGAAGAATTCCTTTCTGGCTTTCCCAGACCTTGGCTTTTGTGACTTCCTTAACTCCTGTGTATCTCGGCCTCTTTGTACTACTCTAACCTGAGCGAACCCACTGAAATACAAGGATGTTCAAGGGTCTTTACTAGACCCTCTGGTGGCTGTGGATCTGGCACCCCATAGCTCTCCAGCTGGGTGCCTGGGGCCTAATTCTTCAGGAAGGAGCTATGCGTCTGGCCCCTTGGGGTCCACGTCTCCGAAGTTGGCAGCTAACACATTCTCGTAGTCATCAGAGGCCTCATTTGGCCTCTCTTCTCCATGTTTCATCTGACTAGTCTCCTTCTGTGCAGATGGTGGATAGGTCACATAATCCCCTAGAGCCACGAACCTCCCTGACTGCATGACAAACTGGACGTGGGTCCCTGGACCATCTGTCCTGCCTTCGACATGGTCTGTGTTTGAGGACGTCACTTCTTCCTCCGCCCGCTGCCGGTTTCCGCTGGCATGTGCCGATGGGACATTTTCATAATCTCTGTAGCACTGAGAAACCATCCAGGGCTGCTTCCCGCGGATGGCCTCAAGATTCAACCCTGCCATGTTGACATAGTCATTTGAGGTCTCAGAAGAACTTTCCTCATCGCTGGGCGGATCATCGCTCTCAGACCTTGGAGACCAAAAACTGGTGCGGTCACTGGCATTCCCACAGCCCTGCTCTCTTTCCTCAGTAAGCTCCAGCTTCTGAGCACTTGGGGGGGCAAAACTGTTCGTGGGGGTGGCGTTGGCAGAAGCCAGAAGAGTCTCAGCAATCTGTCCCGCCGTGGGGACATTGATGTAATCTCTGGAATCCTCTGAAGAAATGCTCAGGCAGTCTCTGGTTGCTGTGACATTGACATAGTGTGCTGAGGGAGTGAGGTCCCCACGCATCTGGAGCCCTGTGGCATTGTCATAGATGCCCACTGTATAGCCGTTGGCAGGATAGTGGTCTCTGTGCACCCAGAGGACATTGCCTGCTTGGGAGAGCTATGAACAAGAAGAGAAGGGTAGTGATAGGATATGGAAGCGGAAATATGGGCAAAGCCTTTCTACTTCCCCAGCCAGTACCACTGTCTGATAGTTCTTGTACTTGTTCTTCCCCTTGGGGGGAAAAATCTCTAAATCTCTAAATCGACTGCAAGGCTTTAATTTTTTTTTTTTTTTAATGTTCATTTACTCTTCACACAGAGAGAGACAGACAGAGCATGAGCAGGGGAGGGGCAGAGAGAGAGATACACACAGAATCCGAAGCAGGCTCCAGGGTCCGAGCTGTCAGCACAGAGCCCGACGCGGGGCTCGAACTCACAGACCGAGAGATCGTGACCGGTGCCGAAATTGGACGCTCAACCGACTGAGCCACGCAGGCGCCCCCCGGCCTGCAAGGCTTTAGATGCTAGGCAGGTATGAGAGAAGTGGAGAGCAACTGTGTACGTGTAACAACATGGTGTAAGTGTAAGTGTAAATTTACAGTGTAGACGTGTAAATTGCTACTAGTTTTTGGCCACAGTATGAGTGTTCACTGGGGAGTGTGTTGGGGTGGGGGGGGGAGTGTGATAAACTGGACACAGCCTGCTGCCTCAGAACCCACTGAGAGACAATGTAGCTAAAAGTAGCGACTCAGCCCCCGACCCAGGGTGCAAATCCCAGCCTCGCTACTCTGTGCTGGGTTTGGGCAAGTTACTTAATCTCTCGGTGGCCTTACTTTCCAGCATGGGAAATGAGGATAATCATAATACCTATATAATACAGGTGTTTGTGAGGAGTAAGTGTATGACCATGTGCCAAGTGTTTGGAATAGCTCCTGCCACGTCAAAAACACTAACAAATGCTTGCCGTTATCATGAAAGGGGCGGCTGACATAAAGGCTCAGATGATTCTGGCCATTTAGGGATGCCGGTCTGAAATTTCCAGAGCTTCTGACTTTTCAAGAAAAGCCTCCAGACTTGAATGCGAAACCTTTTAGATTTTCACCTGTTGGCAATTGGTTCAAAATGTTCTTCACACACTACAGAGCCCAAGCCAGACACGTTGTGGCCTTACTTGGGTGTGGCACTCTGAATGCAAAATCCCCTCAGGATTCCCCACCCCGCCTCGCCCCCACCTCCAAGGGCTGGAACTCACTTTGGCAGTGGAGTTTCCTCTTTCCTGCCCTTCATCGGCCATGCAGGCTTGCTCCCCCAGGAAGTCTTTAGAGGTGGGAGCAGAGCCCAAGGATGGGGTATAGGGGAGGACGGCGGGAAGATGGTCGCATGGTATTCGAACCCTAAATCTTTGGGTTTTGGGTAGGCTGGAGAGCAGGGGGTCAGCAGCAGCGGGACTGTGTTCACTTGAGACGATCACAAACCGATTCTTCGACAAGCAAACAAAGACTTATCTATGGAAATGAGCCCCCTGAGTTTCAAAGTCCTCCCTTTACCGTGTCGGGTGCCACAGTGTTGTGGGAGTCCTCCCTGGGGGCTGCCTTCCGAGCCTGATCACAGGACATGTGGACTTATCGGTACTGGTTACACTACTCCCCTGGTCACCTCAAAAACGATCTCACATTTGGGGCGCCTGGGTGGCTCAGTCCGTTAAGCGTCCAACTTCAACTCAGGTCATGATCTCACACTCCGTGAGTTCGAGCCCCACGTGGGGCTCTGTGCTGACAGCTCAGAGCCTGGAGCCTCCTTCGGATTCTGTGTCTCCCTCTCTCTCTGCCCCTCCCCCATGTACACTCTGTCTCTCTCTCTCAAAAATAAATAAACATTAAAAGAAAAATTAGGGGCGCCTGGGTGGCGCAGTCGGTTAAGTGTCCGACTTCAGCCAGGTCACGATCTCGCGGTCCGGGAGTTCGAGCCCCGCGTCAGGCTCTGGGCTGATGGCTCAGAGCCTGGAGCCTGTTTCCGATTCCGTGTCTCCCTCTCTCTCTGCCCCTCCCCCGTTCATGCTCTGTCTCTCTCTGTCCCAAAAAATAAATAAACGTTGAAAAAAAAATTAAAAAAAAAATAAAAGAAAAATTAAAAAAAAAAATCCCACGTTTGATCAAACACTTTTGACGCCAGCTACGGGGCTCAGTGACATACAAATATACCTGCCCCGGAGGATAATTGAAATAGTTTGGCACAGGCCCCAGAAGTTATTACCACGGCAGGGTTTTTAGGGTGTTTTGAGCACCGACAGCCTTGTTGGAATGCTTGTGTGCCCTCCTGAGGTGATCACTTGGAAGGGGACAGGACTCCTTTGGATAAAGGGTTACCTGTCTTGGTGAAAACAATCCATTTCAGTTCTAACACCATGTCCTTGAATATATGTGCCCTGGTGCCTTGCTTAACATCACAAACACTTGTGCCTATCTTTCCTCATTTCTCTCCCTGGGCAGTAGGGAGGTCCTGAGGCTAGTCTTCCCAACGTATTAATAGGGTCACAGGGTGACTGCCAAAGGACATGTGGTTTGCTCTGTGACCTGAACTCCTTTCCCCCAGTTCTTCTGCCAGAGACACATCCCTTCTCCCAAGGGACTTGTCCTTTCCCTTGACTCTTACCACATGCTCAGAAGGAGGGCTCTCAGAATGTCTGGAGAGGAGGCTCTCGGTACTGAAAATACGGTTACTCCTTGACTGACGTCTCCCTGAAAGGACAGAGGACAAACCCTGAGGATGGCTGGCCAGTGCCCTGAGCGCTCCAGCCTGAGCAGTCCCTGCATCGTGGGTGAAGTAGGTTTGTATGGCGTCTGGTAGTTGGGGCCTGATGTTCTGTGGTGAGAGGGTTGGAGCTACGGGCATGATGTGCTCTGAGCCCGGGAACTGCCCTCAGCTTCTAGCAGAGGACAGGAGGACACTAACTAGCACAGGGGCTGGGGAGGCTGGGAAGTTGGCTCCTGGGGTGAACCTTCCCTGCCTGTAATGCCGGAGGCCATGTTCTCCTCTGTCTGTCTTCCCCATCCCTAGACACACTCACCTGTCCTTTGCTAACCTCACATCAAGGTGAAACAACCCCCCCAACCTTTTTAGAGCCCCCTAACTCTCTTTTTAGAGCTTTCTAGGCCCCCAGTGTTTCCTCCTATCCCCTCCTCTTCCATGCTCCCTGAAGGGCACAACGTCTGAAAGTTTAAAGAAAGCTGCCTCTGGGTGGTGAGAGGTGCATTCTGGGCGTAGAAGGTCAGTAACATCTGCAGTCCATGGATTAGAAAGAAAAACCTACCCAGGTCTTCTTGCCTCTGGGGCAAGGAGTCATAAATATTTTTGGCTCCTTGTCTGGGTCGAGACAGAGTCAGTAAGGGCATGATGGTAACTCGGAAGTAAGGAACTTGTCCTGCAAGGCAATGACAGAGATGGAGATTGTGGCAGAGGCCAGTGGCACAGAACGTGGGGACCTTTGGGGATGAGGTGGTCCCTGAAAATATTCTCCACCCTCACTATGTATCATAAAATATACATTTTCACAGTTGCCCAATTCCATTTGAGCTAGAAGACTTGGTAGACAGAAGCAGGAGGAAGAAACGGGGGGCCGGGGGCGAGGGTTGGGACACAAAAGTCCCAGGGCAATGGCTTTCAAAATGGAGACACAGCGTAGACTCTCGAGTGAGACAAGGACCAATGTGTCAGAGAAGAACAGAGGATTCCCCAGTGTGATAGTTTATCCCTGGAGAATAAACTGGGCTTTAAACGCCAGGCTAGATTATTGACCCTGGTTGGGGGGGGGGGGGGTCTCAACTCTGGGTGAACAAGGGACTCACGCTTCTTCAATTTATTCCAGTTCCACAGGCCGTAGAAAATCATGGTGGTCAGGAGGATGGCGAGGAAGCCCGCGAACCCAGAAAAGATGGCACTGCTGTGGTCTTTATGTCTGTGAGGAAAACCAAGGGCCAGCTGTAGGAGGCTGAGGAGGTTGGAGAAGGTGCTTTCAACAGGAATTGGAGCCCGAGGACTTGGAATGGGAGCTGAGTGCCGGAAAGCGGAGGTGGGTAGGCTGTTTGGCTGAAGAGAGGGTCTTCTCTATGGACAGAGGGACACTGGACACAGGAGAAGGGAACTGTCCCTTCTGAATGCCAGATTCTAGACTCAGAAAGGCAGAGTAATGTATCAGAGATCCCACGGGTAGGAAGGGGCAGGGATAGAATGCGAGTTGAGGTCTGTTTGGACCCAACGATCGTGCTCTTTCTACCGCACCACATTATCCTCCAAGTTTGCAAAATCATGCTCCTCTGCCCTTACTTCCCCTTATCCCCTACTCCTGGGCTTCCTGTCTTGTGTGGAAGAGGGGTTACCCCACGCACAGTGAGGGAGCTCTCTGTGCCGGAGTCCAGCCTGCAGGCACTTGAGCCACCCCCATGCACCAACGTGTGGAGCTGGCCGCCAAGCAACATTTGCTGTTTCGTGGGGTGTAACCGGTGCAAAGGCAGGAGACGGTTTGTGCTGCTGGCGATTCCCTGACAGGACTGGGGCTGCTGCCACTGTAACAAGAGCCAACAGAGGTTTACGGCGGGAATCGCCAGGGGACCTGCTACCTCCAAATATCAGAAACCCGATCAGCTACCAGGGAAGGGTTTTGTCCTCCTGAGACCTAGGCTTGTTTACCCAATTTACACTGGACATTTCCGCCAGGCTCCCCAGTGGACGTCTCCAGCCAAATAGGCCTCAAAGAGAATGCCTGTTCTTCTCTCATAAGCCTGCTTCTCCTGTGGTGTCTCCCATCATCTAGTGGCTCAGTCGGAAACCTTGGAGCCGTCCTTGAGCGCTCCTTTTCGTTCACACCTCACTTCCGGTCAAGCAGCAGATTCTGTCTGCTCCATCCTGGGCATCTTTCCCAAACCCAGTCACCTTTTGCTCCTCCACTGCCAACGCTCGGTCCATGTGGAGGTTTGTAGCACCCCCCCGCATGCGACGCCTGGCTTTCCCTCTTGACCCCGGCATATTATCTTCACGCACGAGCCAGTGTGGTCCTCCTGACAGTAAACCAGATCACGTCCCCCATATTCTTGTGACCTGCATAATTTCCCATCACACTTGGGAAGACAGCCACAGTCCCTACCCAGTGAAGACGTCCTGGCACCTTATGTGCTGGCCTCTGTCTGTCTTCTGACCTCGTTTCATGCCACTTTCCATCTGACTCTGACAGCTAGGATTCGAGGCTCTTCCTCGTCCGTGCAAAGCGTAGTCCTGCCTCCGACCTACAGGGCCCTCTCCCAGGTGTCTGCGTAGCTCGGTCCATCATTTCACTCAGGTCTCTTCTGAAATGTCACCTGTTCAGACAGGCCCTCCCAGTCCACACTCTACTACTCTTGGTCCCCTTAACTCTGCTCTCGTTTTTCAGACTTAAGGTTGACTGGCATTATATTACATATCGATTTGTTTATCTGTTAAGATCTGACTTTTCCACTTGACTGTAAGCTCCAGGAGGCCATGGACTTGTCTATCCTGTTTATCTGGTGCCTGGAACAGTGCCTGATACTTAGTAAGGGCATGATGAATATTTGTTGAATGAGTGCATAAATTAATAAACACGAAGGAATATAGAAGTGATGATTTCTGGGGGGATTCCGAGTTCTGACAACTTTATGAATTCATTCCCCATCAATGCTCCTATTCACCTGCAGGTGACATATATTTGTTTGTTATGGTAATAACATTTATTTCCCTGAACGACAGCGATTTTAAATTTATCATTTTTGGGGCGCCTGGGTGGCTCAGTTGGTTAAGCGTCTGACTTCAGCTCAGGTCATGATCTCGTGATTCGTGAGTTAGAGCCCCACAGCTTGGAGCCTGGAGGCTGCTTCGGATTCTGTCTGTCTGTCTGTCTCTCTCTCTCTGCCCCTCCCCCATTCACACTCTGTCTCTCTCTCGCTCTCAAAAATAAAAGTAAACATTAAAAAAATGTATTTGTTATCGCAGCACTGAGATTTATACCCACCAGTGTTGCTAAAGCTTCAACTGCTGATGGGTTTTTTTTTTTTTTTATTGTTAGTATGATACTGAAAGTTTTAGCAGTAAAATTTATATCCACGATTAGTTCTGTGAGATTTTATATGCTAAAGATATAGCTTTATCACATCTATGGCTGCATTTTCCATTCATGGAAAGTTTTTAGGACCTAAAAACACATCATTGAAAAAAGTAGGCCTTTTGTTTCCATTATGGGAGGGCCTAGTTTTTTGTGTGTTTTTTGTGGTGGGGGGACTGGTGGTTGGGACCTGAGACAGGAAAGATTGGGGACAGTGATGGACCGGGTCTCTGGGAGCTCAGAAATCCTACCAGGCCAGGCAGCGAGCTCTAGGGAAATCCTGTGTTATCACAGCTACCCCCTGCGACTCCTTTTTTCTCCTTTCCTCCCAGCAGCCCTGAGAAAACTTCTCTAAGCCTGGAGTTTGGTGGTCTCAGTGGACCTGAGCCTGGCTGTGAGGGCTAGGAGCACTGCTGGGGAAACCCCCCCCCCCCCCCCCCCCCCCAGGGTCCACCAGGGATGTCTGTCTAAATCTGGGGAGGGTGGAGTCACTCACCTGTCCAGGCTGCCACCAGTTTCCTGCAGAGTCCTGGCCTCCGAGGTCCCCCCTCTGATTTCTGAAAGGGTTGGGGTGATCATATCCATTTCCATGGGAACCTCTCTGGCTTCCGCTTCTCCTTGTAAGCCTTCTCTTAATTCTCATCAGCTAGTGCATGTTGCCACTTCTCCTGGATCTTCCCAAGTTGTCGACCCCCAGGAGAAAAGGCAAAATTGGTTTGTGTTTTACATATCATCATGACCACTTTTTTAAGTAGATAAGAACGATGGACACCCTCCCCATCCCCATGTTTTCCAATCTTTCTAGAACTTTCTTTCCCCCCGCCAACTTTCTACCTTGTATCTACCTTGCAACTGTCAGGCTGCGTTGACCCCAAATACAAAAACAACAGGTTTGCTTCTACCTGGATGTGGTTACAGTGCCGGAGGCGAGAGCTCAGCCGGGTATGGTGTCCCCCAAGCGACGTGGCTCAGGGAGATGCTACGCTCTCTGCCTTCTGGTGGAAGTATGAGGGGCAAGGAGGGGGGAACTGCCAAGAGGCCCGAGAGAGAGGCTCTGTGAGAAGCCCATCCTCCCCCAACCCTCAAAGCAGACAGAAAAGAGCATTTTGCCAGAATGGAAACAGAGAGTCGTCACAGGAAATGACACCACCAATGTGCTAATGAAGCTTGGGGCACAGGAAACGCTGCTCAGTTACAATAAGATAGCAGAAACCATGTCTTCACCCCCTGTTCCTTGGGTTGGCCGGGTGCGCTGTGGTCTGTGGGGAGTGTGGCTAAAGACGGGACAAGGTGGAGGGAGATTCATGACTGTTCCTTTGGGTTCTGAGGCAGGGAGGCAGGCTATTTTCATAGACACTTCCCTGAGTGATTTTGACAAAGCTGGTCTGTGTTTCACGTTCTGAGACTCTCTGGGTATTACCCTAAGGATGAAGCCAATGCTGGGTCAGCAGGGCCCCTGGAGGCCATTCCCTCCTGAAGCCCTGCCCTCCGTGGCCCCTGTCGGCTGGCTGTCTCCCTCACAGGACTCTTCTGGAGATCTGTCACAGTCCTGCTTGTTGTGTGGCTATCTCAGAGGCCAGAGACCCCATACCCCGTGTCTACCCAAAGTGTCCCAAACTTACACAACTGTTCAATATGTGTTTCTAGCTCCCTTCTCGTTTTTCCTTTTTCCATCTCCTAAAACTCTCTTTGCATCTCGGGAGAGTCCAAAAAAGAAGGGGCCACTAAGACTCTTATGAGGATGTGAAGAAGGGCTTCTGAGGGGCGCCTGGGTGGCTCAGTCCGTTAAGCATGCGACTTCAGCTCAGGTCATGCTCCGGGAGTAGTCTGTGAGTTCGAGCCCCACGTCAGGCTCTGTGCCGACAGCTCAGAGCCCGGAGCCTGCTTCAGATTCTGTGTCTCCCTCTCTCTCTGCCCTCCCCCTGCCCCACTCACGTTCTGTCTCTCAAAAATAATTTAACGTTAAAAAAAAAACAAAAACAAAGAAAGAAGGGCCTCTGACTTGGCTTTCCACAAGGCAATGGACTCCCAGAGGGATAGCACGGAATACAGACAGTGCCTCAGCACCATGTCTCTTCTGCCTCTTCCCAGTGGACCCTGAGGCCCATGGCCTCCCGGGGCTGCTCTCCCCGGCTTTGTGCGTCCAGGCTCTCACAAGGCCCTCAGGGCAGGGGGGCCGCTGGTGGGTCCTGGCCGGCTGTCCCCAGAGCTCTGCCTTTCCAGGTGCCCGCTGCCCTACCTCCACGCAGCCTTACCCGGTAGGAAGCAGAGGTGGTTCAGAGGCCGCTAGTTCGAGAACCGGAAGCTGGGTGTCTGTCTGCTTGTCCTTCACATGGGGTCTGCGTAGAGCTACGACTCCTCAGGAGAAGATCCATTGCTCCATGGCCCTGGTGGCCGGGACTGGTGGAAGAGAGAAGCTAGGCTCCCCAGGCCTGTCCTGAGCCTCTGGTACCAGAAGGCTGTGTGCAAACTGGGAACTTGGAAGGCGGTCCAAGAGAAGGGCCAATGGAACCAAACCTCAGAACAGCTACTTTAAAAAAAAAAAAAATTTTTTTTTTTTTTT